ATGCAGTTGCTTTGAAATAACTAAAATTATGAATCATTTAACGCGTTTGGCAATATGCATTTATTTTTTTATATTTTGTGTAGTAAATCAGCTGAAGAGTCCTTATGCTTCAGAGGTCGAAGAAGTTGTATTTAAAAACTCAACATTAGTACAAACCACAAATCAGAATACATTTGAAAACGCGACGGATAAAGTACTATCACGAGGAAAACGGTATTTAGATATTTTAGATGGCAGCCGCATGTTCGTACGTTTTTCATAATACTTTAAAAACATTATTGTCAAATTTTTTGTTATCCACTCTAAACACTTTTTGCACATAGGTTCGTATTAATGTTAAGGATAATGTAATCAAAATGCCCCAGATCTGGGCTCACGCCGTTGGCTTTCGTGCTAATTTACCAATTTTATTTGAAAAAAAGTTGCGACCTTATAAACGGGACACCTATGAGTTACTACACGAACTTATGGATAAGTAAGTGCTGTGAGTTCAGATAAATAATTTTGTCTAGATGTAATCTAAATAATATTGATGTGTTGTGATTTTGTACATATAAGAACTGGCATTGATGGGCAAGCCTGCATTTTAAAGGCTTTCTGCACAGCACATATGCTAGATGAGGATAATATTGAAGCGGGAATGTTAATGAAGCTACTGAAATATATTTTTACGTAAGTGGACGAAATACTAATACTAAAAAAAATATTAAATGAAGTTTATTGGTGTGATTTTATTTTTCGAAAGGAATTCATTAAAATTATTCTCAAATTTAAAGTTATCAAAATGGAAAGAGAGTCAGGTTATGTCTTTTTAATTTGAAAATTTTTTGTGATATATAAATAGAGAAAGGATTCAATTCTTTGATTTCGTTTATAGGAGAAGTAAAATATTCTTCTATAGACTTGATGCTATCATAATGAATGATTAGATTATGATTAGACGGAATCTTTACTACATAAAAAAAGAATTTTACTATATCATCTCTGGTTATAATGCATTAATTTATTTATACGAGTATTTAATAACTCAAAAACTCATCTCTTTTAATATTAATTTAGTTGTATATTCTTCAGGACATACATACTTTATATTTGAAATTTACATAAATATTTTTTTCGCTCTTATTAATGAGAAAATCAAATAAAATAAATAATTGGAAATATAAAAATAATAGTAGAGAAAATATATTTTCTCTATTTTTTTTATATAAAATATTTTATTTTTATAAAATATTTTATTAATATATTAATATTATATATAGAGTAATAAAAAAAATAGTAAGACTATGTAATAAAAATATTTTTAGTACTTACCATATGTAATATTTATTTTTTTACAGTTTGGATTCCGATGACAAACGTTACTTTTCTTATTTACGGATGGAAAATTGTCAACAAATACTGCACAGCCATTGTCCACTGAGCTTTAACAATATATCACCATATACTGATGATGTTTGATCACCGTGATTTTAAATGTATGTTAATTTGTTTGTGAAACTGAATAAAGAAAATAAAATTTGATAAAATAAAGTATTTTACTTTCTTAAGTATTTGAATTTAATCTGAATTAAAATACATGCATATTATGTATGCAAAATACATGGGGTTGTTGTTGCAAAACTAAATGTAAATAATATAAAACACACTAAATTCATATTTCAATATATTGTTTATATATTATCATTAGATGTAAATACATAATTTAATTACTCTTTGAAGTTTTGAACCTTTTTGAGGTAATTTTCAATACGAATATGCGTTTTCAATGTATCGAAAGTTTAAGGATTGTTTATATAAACACGATTCTTTTCGCAGCCCACAAACAAAAGTCCACTAATGATAAATGCCTTTGTGTAAATTCAAAACGTGAAACTACGCAATGTGTACCTTATTGCATCACCCCCGATGAAACACATATCTTCCATATTCATATATATACAAAAAAGTTGGTAAACATGTTGCTGTAGCAATCAGAGTTGAGAACTTCGTTGCATCTTCATCATTTTTCAGAAAATACAGCCCTATGCACCTTTAGAACAAATGACACTCCACATCATGACTTTTCGTAGATTCAAGGGTCTCTCACAGTTACTTGTGGATTTTAACTGCCCGAAGTGCGACAAATTTTATTGTTGCGCATCTAGCAATCAAAAGAATAGTCTCATCATTGAACAAGCCAAAAAGAAGTGTGTTAAGGTGATATTATTAAAATCATGCAGCATGCAAATACAACATCCAAATACTGCAAAGACTACAATCAAAAATACTTAGGACTATCATCAACGCTGAATGGTACATCTCAAACTATGACATTCATCGCGATTTAAAGATACCCTTCGTTGCAGACGTTATCCGAAAAAATAGTAAAAAGCACACAGACAGATTACTTTTCCATCCTAACCCAACAATGAGGCAGCTACCTAATGACGAAGCCACACATAACAGAAGATTGAAACGCTTATTTCCATCAGAACTAGCAATACTATAATAATCTAACTAATTTTAATTATTTTATAATATTTAGTTCATATAATTTAAAGAAAAGTTTTCTTTTTCTTTTTATCCACTATTAATAGTTCACTCATGTAATTCTTAATCTTGTTTTTGAATTATTACTTGAAGTTCCATTATGGAAAAATGTATACTTAATGCTAAATCTTGGCAGTTGTATGATAAAGGGAAGCACAAAAAAAAAAATTAAAATCATGTGATATACCTGCTTCATATCTTCATATATCTTTATATCTGCTTCAAATCATATATCCATATAATTTTTTGGAGGTATCAATCTGATCAGAGAAGAAAATGTTCAGAGTTAAATCATTGTGTACCTATATTGAAATTCCACTTTTGATCAATAGGCGTTTTTAGTAGGTTATATAATATAAATATATTTATTAAATATTGAATTTTTTTCTTGATCTTTTTTTTTTTGACCTGAAGCTATGCAATTAAAATGATTTTAATAGTTTATGAAATACAGTTTGTGTCTCGAAAAATATGCAATAAAAAATATTTATTTCAGCACGTTTTATAAATTTAATACATAATAGAAAGATGATAACACTATATTCTTCCTTTACGTATTTTATGCTGCATGGTATTATAGTATTTATCAATTAAATTTTTAAATTGTGAAAAATTCTTGATATTTGTTATTAACTGGAAGGCTGTGATATAAAGCGACATATTAGTTTTTATATCCTTACATAACGGTTTAATGGCTTAATATATTCATATAAAACAATGGCATACACAATCGCAAACTTCCACATCCATTTTTCGTTATAATTACGAAAGTTGTAACTGCAGTAATGTTGCACTTTGTTATTACAGCCAGTCCTTGCACAAGGCGCACGCAATATCCTTGCAACACTTGCTTTAAGTATTTTTAATTCGAAGAAAATCTCGCTTTACTGAGTTGCTGGTGATTGCATTTTGTCAGTGATATTGCGTGCTTATGCTTTCAGTGGCAATGAAATTTTAATTACCTACAATTGTGTAATTTTGATTACACCATCACATGAGTCAATTTCACGGCAACAATGTAGAGTATCCAGTAACATTCAACACATTTATCCTTGTCGATAATAAGCTTTTATGAGATATTATTTAAACCTATTAAGAACTTTTAGATACAATATTAAACAATCTTATAAATCACTTTTAATTGTTAGTTATACAATTATTTTTTGTAATGAGTTTTGTAATTGTTATTCATTGTAAAATATACCTTTGAGAATACATAAAATTCATGACTGGAATTATTTTTACATATTTAAGGTTATTAAAGATGGAAAAAATAACATATATATAAACGAGTTGCTGAACTCAATTAAGATTTACTCTCTATCTGTCAAATTTTGTTGCCCAATCGAACATTTTTAGAGTAATATTATATTTTTGTAGTAGTTTTAGTAGACATTTATATTTTTCATAAATCCATATATAGAATCAAATCACCCTTTCTTTGTCAAATCATACAAAACAGCTGTTAATTTCAGGGTAATCTTGTTACTCTGGCAAAATGTCTAGAGTGTTATAAATTAATTTGGAGTGTTACACATTTTGCTCAAGATTTACAAATCCTAAATGGAAATTATACTAAAAGTAAATTTCAATTGAAAAAGTTACACCAGATTCATCAATCGAAAATGACATAAACCTCGTCACCGTGATCAAAATTGAGTCCATTTTCGTTTTTTCTCAAATTCTCAATTTTTTAATATATTTTACATTAAAAATGTGTTTTGAAACAACAATTTCAAGTTTGACGTTATCATAACATTGTATAACAGGGTCCTTACAGTGAATACTTCTGAACGATCCAAACATTCAAAGTTGATGGTTGTTCCAATAAACAACAAAAAACCTCTAAACCTATCCAAACATTCAAAGTTGATGGTTGTTCCAATAAACAACAAAAAAACCTCTAAACCTATATAATAGTTGTTATGATTTAACAACTATTAGCCACCTCAAGATATTTAGAAGCCTTAATCCAAACAAAAGAGTTAAACACGTATTATGGGCGATTAGTCATAAACTTGAATCGGCGGTAGTACTATAGATAATAGTAAGGAAATGTGTTTCAATCAAAATATGCAATCACCATGTGTAAATCTAAAAGAATTGAAGTTATTTACCTAAATATAAAATATATAAAAAAATGCAGCAAATTCTAATAGGTGTTAAGAAATGTATTTTTCAGTTGATCTATTATTTTGGATTAATCCAACATATGATTGGTCATGTATTAAAGGCAGATAAATACTATCGGCGAATAGTTAAATGTGTCTGAAATTATGGTATGATTTATCTATAATAATGGTATTATTTATATCCTTAAAAAGTAAATGTTTCTAGCAGCACGACCGGGATATATAAGAGTCACTGTTGCCTATTCTCTTCATTCTTCATTCAATTTATCAAAAATTGAATTAAATTAGCTTTCAAAAACAAAAACTTTTTTTTTAATATGTCTTATAGTTCACAGTATTTATTGAAAATAATATTTTTCAGGCGGTGTTGAATATTTTCCAAAAGCCAGTTCAAGCAACGAAAAGTCACAATTATACTCGGTTTCGCAATCGTTCTCATGACCATTTCGATATGCTTCATCGTACGTTTCTATGCCAGGATTCTCACGTAGTTCTCGTGTATACAAACGCTGTTTTGGAAGGCTACCAATAAAAGATATATTTAATAGAAAGTGTTAAAACTAAAATTTAAAATTTATTATAAAATTTCCATTTTTATGAGAGAAAAAGAAGTAAAGACAGTAGAAAATCGAATATGACAATAATGAAGAAAAAGAGATTTTGTAACATTCTAATGTAATACATACGTAATCAAGACTCACATAGTAATTACAGGGAAGAATACAGATAGAAAAAAGTAAACTAAGAAAAGCAGAGAAACCCAAAAAATAGAAGAACTGAAGAACTTAAGAAAACGAGAAACATCTAAATTCTTCTAGAGCTTAAGATAATGTTATATGTAATAAATTCTTGGCATTACAAAAATTTAATAAAGACGGTGAAGATAATAGAAATAAATTGAAACCATAAGCGAAGAAAATAAATATATATCGAACGTTTGGGAACGCAATATATAATATAAAACAATAGAGAGTTTAAGTTAAACAAATAAATAAAAAAAATAAGACGATGTGTATGAAGAAATGGTAATAGGAGTTAAATAATAATATATTAATTTTTTTACAATAAGTATTGGACTTTAACTTATAATTAATTGAGAATTCTAAAGCGAAAAAGAAGTAAGAAATTGAAAAGGAAGGAAGAAAAAGGAAGAAGGAAGAAAAAAGAATAATAAAAATAAATAAGTATAACAGAATCACTTTTCGTAAATATTTTTTATATAAAAATATAAATGATATTGAAATTGATCAATAGGTATTAAAAATTTTTTAAAATAATATTGAAAATATGTGCTTAAATAAATACAAAATAATGAATTAAAGAATAGCCATTTCTACTTACCTAAAAATAACTCGCATCATTTCTCCAATCATGCCCATTTTCGGTTTTTGGAAAAATTGTCGACTTTCACAAAGAGCACGTAATACACAATCTCTTCCATCATAGCCCATGCTATATAAAATATAACAAAAATTATTTCATTAATATTACATACAAAATATATAAACTATATGTTATAAATTTAAATAACAATTGTAAGTAGAATTACTTGTCAATAAACATTTCTACTTCTTGGTAAAGTGCACGGCGTGTACGTCTACGTAGAGCTGCTATAGGAACTGGGTGACGTGAAAACCCATGTAAATGATTAAGAATCCAACTATTATTAGGTAAATCATATCCAGTACCCCAATTAAGCCCAAAACTCATATAATCATATCGTGGATTACCGATGATTCCAACAGTAAAACAAACTGCCACCTATATAAATATTTAGTGTTATATAGTAGAAAAGATCTTAAAGTGATCAAAATATACTAGATTTAGATTTGACATCAAAACTGTTAAATGTAGAAAGAACTTCAGTTTGATTTTCAAAGAATATTTTAAAGAATATTATCTATTACAAGAAGATTTCTGTGTTTACAATCCTATTGTAGTATTACTAACCAGACGATCGACTTTTCGCTATCAATTTTGATATTACTGAGTGGCATATCAACTTTAAGACTCACTATTTTAGTAGATATAAGTGAACTATAAATTTATTTGTTCTTAAATAAAATCATCTAAAAAGTTAGGTTTATAGACTCTTAATACTAGTGTTACCAAGAAGGTAGACCAGTTCTGGGTCTTTAATACTAGTATAACTAAGTGGAAAATCTAATTTTTGGTTCGAAATGATTACTCACGGTATTTTTTGAAAGAACAATTTCGCCATTTTTAATATTCCTATCGTTTGAAATTCTTTAATATAAATAGTGCTGTGACAAAACAGTTAATAAAAAATTTATGTAAAAAATGGTTTTTCGATTTTCGATCGATTACGACCTCGTAAAATTATTTAGTTCTTTTTAGCAAAAAACACAACTATGATGCTGGGAATTTTTTTAGAAAATTACTTAGAAAATAAATTAATTAGAAATTTATTTAATTAAAAAATTAGTTTAGAAAATGCAAAACAATCATATTCAGAATACTAAAAGTTCAAATGATTAAATAACTGAGGCAGGGTTATGTTATTTGCTTTTTAATTATTGTTTATATTTGTTGCAGTGTATGTATTTATATATAAAGACGTGGAAAAAATAATAGAAACGAGAGGGTTTGTACTACTTCGAGGAATATATTTTATTTTTTTGAAAGATTATATGCATTTAACCCACTGAATATGTTATTTTGATAAAAGTACTTTAATTTACTTTCATTTTTATACTTATTTCGGCAAAAATATTAGTGATATGCACACTTTATATATACTTATGCACGTTTTTTTGTAGAAAAAGTGAATATCTAACAGTCATCGGATAGAAGTTCGTACTTCCAAATAAGTCGATTTTATGTCCATTAAACTCATTCTCTTGTCACTGTCAAATTACTATTGTTTCTCAATGGCTTCTGATTAATATTTTGTAAGTTTTAATTTCTAAATTTCCACAATTTAACGAAAATAAAAAAAAAATATTTTCAACGCCCACGCTGAAGTGTAACAGAGCAGCACATACTGTTAATGTTGAACCTTCCGGAAATGACAGATAACGTTTCGGACGCTTTAGCAATCGTTGTGACTTATATGATGATGTTGCTGTTCCTGCAGTTGGCGATTGAGCCGATGAAATTGCTGTTGTTGGTACTGGCGTTGCTGCTGATGAATTTGACGACGATGATGATAATTCGGTTGCAGCATCTGTGATTTTTTGTTCCCCCACTAGGACTGATAATAAATCAATAGTTGAAGCATTTCGGTCATGCATATTTCTATGTGTGTTCTCGGTGGTTTGAGTTCCATTTGGAAAATGTGGAACATTCCTATATGTGTGAGCAGAATTTAAAGGCATTTGCGTACTTGAAATACTGCAACAATTGTCAACAACAATGTCAACATTATTGACTTTATCGCAATTGGGCATAAAAATGGCTGACGTTGACATTTGTTTGGATGTGAACGATTTTGACGATGTCAATGGTGATTTGTCAAAATTACTGTTGCTGCTAGCAGGAGCAGTGGCAGGGGCAGTTACAGCAACAATTCTAACTGCAAATGCAACTTCGATGGTAAATAAAATTAAAATGTAAATTAAAATTGTCATTATGCATGCGAATTTTTAATTTCAAATGCGTTACGGCGTTACAGCGTTACAGCGTTGCAACTAAATTTGAATAATGCACAATAATTTGATTTTCATTATGCATTTTCATATGAAATTTTGCGCGGCAAAGCAATTTCAAAAATTAATTTTGTTTTATTTTGATTGCACAGAATTGCATATTTTATAAGTTTTGCATTATTTCTTTAATAAAAGTGAAGTACACAGTACACAGTACACAGCACACAGCACACTTAACACATTTGCCGCACGTCCCGCTAATAAATAAAATACACAAAAACTACACGAGTTGCATGTTCAACTCAACGTGCTTAAGTTGTGGCGAAAATGATTTGCAAATTATTTATTTAAATGAAACGTGAGGAAGTTGAACAAACAATTGCATTCAATTGTTTTCAATTTCAATGCTTTCAATTCAACTCAATTCAATTTTATATGTGTTAGTGTACACATGCAAGTGTCCACAATAAGAAATTTGAAAATTACATGAAAACCATACAAAAACAAAAAATGTAAAATAAATAAGCACACCAAACACTCAAGGCAAGTGTACTGCTAACACACACGCACACACACACATATAAAAAGAACACAAGTTTTAAATGAAAAAAAAAAATTAAAATTTACCTTTAATTGTCTTCAATCAACGCAACTGCACATTGCTTGTGGGCTTTGGCTCAAATTTCCCTGCAATACCACTGTAAACTCAATACACAGCTATAAACAGCTTACAGCATGTGGTAAGGAGGAGAAGTAAGTGCAACAATAGAAATTGGTAGCAACTTTGATGTTGCAGTCTTTCATGTTTCACATATTAGAAAACGAAAGAACGAACGAAAGAAAAAAACAAATAAAGAAAACGAAAACAAAAACGAAAACGAAAACGAAGAAATAGCAACAATAAGCGTACAACGCTGACGAGCGGTTTTGGAAAAGCATTCTGAGCTTAATGGGTGTTGAGTGCAATTGAGTTTAATTGCGTTGCCGCTTTGGTTGTGTGAGTGCTTATGTTAATCAAGGCAACAGTGGTGCATAAACTTGCTTTGACATATACGCGCGGTAGCTTGTACAGATTTCATGTTTATGCTTTGGAAATTAAATTATGCAGATTCGATATTATTGAATGGAAATTGAATTTTCTGGAATTAACAAATGAAAATGGATTACATGCAAGTTTGTATTGATTTTAGGAATTAATTTAAGTTCAAAAGGAGAATATTTAATAAAAATTAAATACATTTTGAAGGTGATATATTACAGATGTTGAGATGAATATAGTGGAGAGATCGGGCAAAAAGGATCGTTCCTTTTAATTATTTTTCTGAATACAAATTCTGAAAGCATATTATATTTTATATTTTTTTTTAATTGTGTCACTATTTCTAATAATTCTCATAGGTGTTTCTTTTGAAGTGAGGATCCGACCAGATGATATCATTGAACAATGTCTTATACCAGGTGTATCGGTATGAAGTGAGCGTAAAGATATAAATGTTCCGACAGGGAACATTTGTTGTGAACGAGCCTTTATTTTTTTTTTGTTTGTTTGCTATGACACGTGTGAAATATATTTAGTATACATCAAGTCATTGAACAGACAACATCATATTTTTTCATTGTTAAAAATGTCGAATTTTGTACCAGAAAGTAATGATTTGCGGAAAGCATTAATTTTTTGTTTTCATTTGAAGCAACATTCAAAAGATGGTTTCAACGGTTCAGAAATAATGATTTTGATGTGAGAAATGAAGAACGTGGAAGACCGCCAAAAAAATTTGAAGACGCCGAATTGCAAACGACAATGACAGAAATGTTAAATATTGCACAACAAACAATTTCTGACCGTTTAAAAGCTATGGGAAAGATCCAAAAGTGTGGAAAATGGGTGCCACATGAATTGAATGAAAGACAGATGGAAAACACTTGTGAAATTTTGCTTTAAAGACACGAAAGAAAATCGGTTTCGCATCGGATTGTTATTAGCGATGAAAAATGGATTTATTTTAAGAATCCTAAACGGAAAAAATCATGGGTTAATCCGGGACAACCATCAACATCGACTGCAAAACCAGATCGATTCGGCAAGAAGACAATGCTGTGTGTTTGGTGGGACTAGAAAGGTGTGGTGTATCACGAGCTCCTAAAACCTGGTGAAACCGTCAATGCTGGTCGCTATGAACAACAAATGATAAATTTGAACCATGCATTGATCGAGAAACGACCAGAATGGGCCAGAAGGCACGGCAAGGTAATTCTGCTCCATGACAACGCACCTGCACACAAAGCAAAACGGGTTCAGGATGCAGTCAAAACACTTGGCTGGGAGCTGCTACTTCACCCGCCGTATTCACCAGACTTGGCTCCTTCCGACTACCATTTGTTTTCATCGATGGGACACGCATTGGCTGAGCAGCACTTTGATTCTTACGAGGTGGTCGAAAATTGGGTGTCTGGTTGGTTTGTTTTAAAAGACGAATAATTTTTTTGGCGTGGTATCCACAAATTGCCAGAAAGGTGGTCAAAATGTGTAGAAAGCAATGGCTAATACTTTGAATAAAATGTTTTTTACTTTCCTATTAATAATTAGTGTTTTATTTTCACCAAAAAACGCTCATTTCATACCGGTACACCTAATATATCTAATCAAAATCTCGAGTATACTCGAATTTGAACATTTAGATCGAATACTTTAGGTTTTCAAAAATCTTTGAGTTATTTAAAGATGTTCGAGCTGCTAGAACATGTTCAAGTTACTCGGTGTTCAACCATTAGCTCCTGTGTTTAATGGTTAATGGTATGAATACGTATATAACATGATATACTCGATCACAAAATGTTGTTCGA